GATGTTACGATCGAGGAGTATTGTCAGATTTTCCACCTCCTTTGAGGGATGATAGTGGGATACCAAGTAAATAAAATGTAGTGACTTAATTTCGGATTCTCTACGAAAGTTATATCCAGGTTGGTGGCTACTTGATGGAGGTTCGCTGGTGCCAGTGCTCGCTCTTGGTTTGGAAAAGGGTGACGCTCTTTTGGATGTCTGTGCTGCGCCGGGAGGAAAAAGTTTACTTGCATTACTGACAAAATTGCCAGGTACATTCGACTAAAATTTTTAATGATGTAAAGGGAGGCGGTCGGGTGGTAAGATTTTTGCTGGCTGTCACTTTATATGCATGTCATAACACACTAAAAACTACTTTCATGAATTTTGAGCTTTCGAGGAGAAGAAAGGGTTCTTAAATATTAGCTAGATGATTGCGTATGGACAATAGAAATGCGTGATATTGAATTTTGTAAAAGCTACAGAATAACTTCCCAGACCCATTTTTCCAATATTCCATACTTATCTTCAGCTGATTCTGTCTATTATGATTCTGAAACCGAGTGCACTGTTTGTTAACATACACTATAAATATGTAAGAACTTCGCGTAACAGCCAAAGCAAGCCCTTAGAAACATCCGAAAATCGTGCCACTCGACATAACCCGATCTAATTGGGAGGTTGTCAGATCTAAATTGCAGGCAAATTGGTCTGCAATGATTTTAAACTGGCAAGACTTGGACAGCTAAAGAGAGCTTTATCTATGTATATTCCATCAGATGCACCAGAAGCAAACACGGTGATCTTGAAAAGAAAGGACGCCGGTAATTTAGCTACGTGGGATGAATTGAATACTTACGACAAGGTGGGCAGAGCGGTTTGAAGTTATAAGGAAAAGCTTAAGCGACGATTCTTTAAGGACGTGCAAAAATGACTAACAAACATGGGACAGCAAACTCTTTTCCAGGTAATAGCTGACGTTCCTTGCTCTACAGATCGCTTGGCTGTCAATCAAGACGAAGGCAATATGTACTCTCCTCAAATGACTAACGAAAGGCTGAACTTACCGCAGCTTCAGACGAAAATCTTGATGTAGGTTGTTTTGGGAAGTTCCTAATTTTGAAATACCAAAGGAGCTCTCTTTGAATAAGCGAATGTTCTTCCTAGATTTTGTTGCACTTTTCTTGCTTTGATAGGAAGGCTTTTAGAAATGCTTTACGGTCAGTAAAAGTCGGTGGTTCTGTAGTTTATTCGACTTGCACATTGTCATCAATTCAAAATGAAGCTGTGGTAGAAAACGGGGTCGCCATAGCGGAGCAGAAATTTGGAGTTCGAGTATGTTCTAAGTCTCTTTCTAATTATTTAAACTTCATTAATTTGTTTAACTTTCTAATTATGTTGTCTCATAGGTTGTTGAAGAGTCACTTTCGCAACTAGTTACGCATCTGGCATCATCTGGGCTGTATCGTTTCTCTGATCAGTGCCGTACGGGTGCCTTGGTGCTGCCGTTCCTTCCGTCCAATTTTGGCCCTATGTATGTTTGTAAGTTGACGAGGATAGCTTAGAGCACATTTCCATTTCTGGACCCTTATTAAAGTGATCCTTGTGCACAGTGAAAGTAGG